GACCTGCAGCACCGTCTGGACGAGGCTGAGCAGCTGGCCCTGAAGGGAGGGAAGAAGCAGATCCAGAAACTGGAGGCCAGGGTGGGCCTCTCAATCTCTGTCTACTTCCATTTCCTCCCAGTATCTTATTAGTTCAAAGTTCTTAAGAGTCTACTTATTTTCAGGTACGTGAGCTGGAAGGAGAGGTTGAGAGTGAGCAAAAGCGTAATGTGGAAGCTGTGAAAGGTCTGCGCAAACACGAAAGAAGAGTGAAGGAACTCACTTACCAGGTATGGCAATGGTTTTAATCAGCTAAATACTCCCCATACATACGTGAAACACTCATACAATGAAACAACAGTCAAGTGCTTTTGAAGTGAGACCCTTTGGTTTTCATTATTTTTCAGACAGAAGAAGATCGGAAAAATATTCTCAGACTTCAGGATTTGGTAGATAAACTTCAGGCCAAAGTGAAGTCTTACAAGAGACAAGCTGAGGAGGCTGTAAGTATCCTTAACATGGTAGGGAAGAGAGAAGTCCCTTGTTAAGAAAAGCTAATGAACAAATTATTAGATTTACCACTCTTTGTAGTAAATAAGCCATTTGCTTTTTAGAAGACTGTACTTCTTAAAAACATTTGCACATTTTTGTACTTATTGCTTATTATTTGTAATATTAATAGCTTGACTTTAAAGTAAATTTTCAGTACACAAAGAAACCTCAAAAAATTTCAAAGCAGAAATTGTGGAGGCCACATTCTGTAGCCATACTGTGATAAAATTGTAAAGTGGTTAGAAAATATAAACACAAATTCTCAAGTGGTTAAATATTTAAAAACTAACTTTCCTAAATAATTTTTGGGTTAAATTGGAAAGAAAAAAACTACTGGATAATTATTAGTTATAAATAAAATTTCAAGGAAGATGCCACCCTTCCAAACCTAAAGAATGTAGTCAAAGCTGTCCTTGGAGGACCATTCATTGCTTTATGAATCAAAATTTTTAAAAACTTGATAGTCCAATAAAGGAATTAAAAATAATAGTGAAAGAAGTACTGTTAAAGATAAAGGTAGGAATTGATAAATGAGAGTATCTTATTTTCTAATATAATTTTAGTAATATCTGAAAATTTCTGGGGAGTAAATAAAATAAATACACTTAATCAAGGAAAAGGAGAAAAAACACAAATTCACAATAGAAATGAGAAATAGAAATGAGAAAGGAGTGCTGGGCAGGAAAAGGAGAAAAAAATACAAACTCACAATAGAAATGAAAAAGGAGTGCTGGGCAGGCTCAGTCAGAAGAGCATGTGACTTTTTTTTTTTTTTAAGATTTTATTTATTTGGAAAAGAGAGAGAGAAAGCATGAGCAGGGGGAGGAGCAGAGGGAGAGGAAGAGGGAGAGGAAAAGAATCTCTAGCAGATTCCATGCTGAGTGTGGGAGCCCAGTCCCATGACCCTGAGATCATGACCTGAGCCAAAACCAAGAGTCAGACACTTAACTAACTAAGGCACCCAGGGGCCCCAGGGATGTGACTCTTGAGCTTAGTGTCATGAGTTCAAGCCCCATGTTGGGTGTAGAGATGAGGAAAGAAAGAGAAAAGAAAAGAAAGAGAAAAGGAAAGGAAAGGAAAGGAAAAAGAAAAGAAGGGAAAGGATACAAACCACAAGTAGAAAATAATTTTTTAATGTAAAATATAAATCTGTCAACAAAGGTGAAATCTTTGAGATTGATAATTTTTTATAGGAGGTCATGAATTACTAAGTTGGCTCAATAACTTGAGAAATGCTTCTGAAAATGGACTGAGGTCCAGACAGGTCTTTCAAAATTTCAAGTAACAGATAATCCCTGAGCTATGTAAGCCATTCCAGAGCATGGGAAAAGATGGAAAGCTTTCCAAATCATTTTAAGAAGCTCATGTAACCCTCATACCAAAACGTGTCCAAGAGAGAAGGGGGGGGGGGGTGGGCAGAGGATGGAACTAAAGGCAGTTTTGCTCATGAGTGTAATTTCAGCAAAGATAAATAACCAAGTCTCTGAAACCCTTTATTAAGGGGAATGTCATCAGTGATTGAACAGGTTAATTCCTTCAATGTAAGGATTACTTAATATTAGGGAATTTATCAGTAGAATCATTACATCCAAAACAGGAGAAAAATGATTGTTTTGAAATGTTCCAAAATAATATACAAAATTCCAAATTTACTTCGATTTAAAGAGACCTTTAAGAAATTCATCCTTAATATGATATAGAATATCTACTTTGAGCCCACAGTCATCTTATAGCAAGCATTAACAAGAAGAAAGATTTCAGTACTCTTGCCTTTTTTTAAAAAAGATTTTATTTATTTATTTGAGAGAGCGAGAGATCACAAGCAAGGGGGAAGGGCAGAGGGAGAAGCAGAAGCAGGGGGGAAGGGCAGAGGGAGAAGCAGGCTCCCCACTGAGCAGGGAGCCCAGTGTGGGACTTGATCCCAGGACCCTGGGATCATGACCTGAGCAGAAGGCAAACGTTTAACCAACTGAGTCCTCCAGGTGCCCTGTACTCTTGCCTTCTCTGCTCTTATATTTTTTCTTGCTTTACTTGTGGTACATACCATTTAATAGGTTTTTGTTCCAAAAATAGATATGCAATTATTTATGGGACACCAAGCCCCAAATAAATCATAATGTTCACTTCAATGATAACCAAAATCCAGGAGGTGCTAAGAAAACAATGTCCCCTGCTCGGTATTTGAAGTTCTCCACAGATACTAAGTCCTTTCTTCCCTTAAGCCCAGAGTCTAGAAAGATGCACAGTATGGGTTCCTTACAATTCCATTTTTATTCTCAGGAGGAACAATCTAACACTAATCTTGCTAAATTCCGCAAGCTCCAGCATGAGCTGGAGGAGGCTGAGGAGCGGGCTGACATTGCCGAGTCCCAGGTCAACAAGCTGCGGGTGAAGAGCCGGGAGGTCCACACAAAAGTCATAAGTGAAGAGTGATCATGCCCGGATACTATGGGCTGACTGAAGAAATGCACAAAATGTGAAGTCTTTGGTCATCTCCCCCTGTAATTATTGTCCATTCTACCCTACTACAAGGAAATAAAGAGCACAGGGTATTTTGCAAACAACATCCTTAGACTGGTCTTTCTTAAAGTGGTGTCAAAGCTAGAATAATCATAAGGCTATCAAACAATTATACTCAACCTGCCACTAAGAAGCAGCATTCACTTTTAAGTCTACAGGAATACTTTACAACTATAAAACTGTCGCCTATCAGGGAAGCCCATTCTGGAAGAAATCTGGAAGTCACCTTTTCTTTCTAACCGTTCCTTAATACCAGGATATAATAGGATCCTAGAAAGCTGATCCCCCCTGACATGTACTTAATTTTCCAGGTCTATGCAAAAAATGGCACTGGCTATATTCTCAAATAGGGGACTCAGACTACACTATACCATTACTTCTCCTTGATATTATCAAGAACACAAATCCAAAGTATTATTAATAACCCATCAAGATTTTCATCATGAATACCCATACACCATATAGTCAGAGAATGCACACCAGGTAATGGGTATGACATGAGTGAGATGTGACCTTTCTCCCTATGAAAGCTACAAGGTGGCTCTCAAGTCTGGGGCCAAGAGAATATTCTTCTATATACTATAATGTATTATCAATAAGTTATTAGCCTATGTTTCCAGACTTGATGGCTGCCTTCATAATCATGTGAAAGGCCAAAATAAATTATCAGGAGTGTCCATAAAATACGAGTCCTGAAATAGATAATTTGGGTGTAAATTCAACACACATAACCATCAGTGTTATGTTACCACTGTGGTGCAAAACCCAGAAATGGTAGCAATCTGAATTACTCGGAGACGTTTTCCTAAATGATCAAGATTTTCTACTCTGGATTCCACTGAGATACATAGCCCAAGGTATAACCTTCCCGGACAGCATAAAGGAAAAGCTAAGTGGTAACTACCCACCTGATGAGAAGCAAAAGTGTACGGGTTTAAATTGCACTGTGGGAGAATGACTTACATCAGACATGTGGGAGCAGCTTAGCAGGTACTTAGAATTCCCATTGTCCCAATGGCCCAAGGAAGAGTGTGGGATCACCTTTCTCCCTGCTTGGCCCATCTTTCCCTTTGTTCCACATAACTGTAAATGCTCAAGTGCCTCATAACTTGGCAGTTGTAAGCAAAAAACAACATCTTATAACAAGCTTACTACAAAGCCCATCCAGCACAGGTCAAAAGGAGATCTTGAAATGCCTATCAAATCCTACTGAGAACATTATGAACACGTCCTCTGTTCCCGAGAAGCGTTGCCCCCGTTTTTCAGACGGCTGCTAAAGAAAATGGATTGGGTGGGGGCAAACAACATGGATTGTAAGAAAGTAAAATGCTATACCTGTGGTCAGAAAGCAGGTTGAGGGTTGGCTAGGAAGGATCCCATCAGACGCAGGTCTCCGGAAGACCCTTCCTGATGGCTTTAATCTACTCCAGGTAGAAGACTGGTAGCAGCAAGCATACTGGGCTGTGTGCTAATCAGGGGCCCGGGGTCTAGGCTGCTGTGTGATTTGTGATCACTGTCTTCTATTCTTTGGACCGGAGCTGTTTTCGTAGTCAAATGAGGAATATGGGTTAGATAGTCCCTTCCAGGCAGTAATATATCACATGACCACTGCAACCAGTATCTCCAGGTATCTGCTTTCCTATGGCTATTTCATTAAATCGATTCAAATGTATGTATAATAATACAGGAACTGTTGCAAAACGGGATATGAGGAAAATTTAGTCTCCATCGCAGACAGAAAAAGCTGACATAGAGAGACCCAAGACAAGAGATAATGAAACAAATCATTTTTTAAAAAATTAAAAGTTAGGGGGCACCTGGGTGGCTCCGTGGGTTAAAGCCTCTGCCTTCGGCTCAGGTCGTGATCCCAGGGTCCTGGGATCGAGCCCCGCATCGGGCTCTCTACTCATTGGGGAGCCTGCTTCCTCCTCTCTCTCTCTCTCTGCCTGCCTCTCCGCCTACTTGTGATCTCTCTCTCTGTGTCAAATAAAATCTTTAAAAAAAAAAATTAAAAGTTAGAATAGAAAACAACATTCAGGTGTCATTGGTAAGCAAAGTGAGAAATGTATGCCACGGGCAGCTGATGGAGAAGCTCTGGGTGCTGTGTATTTAGACAGAGAAATGCCCTGTTTTCTAATATCTTCCTGTCCTGAGTTTCAAAGAGGAAACAGGATTTCACAAGCAACTTGCATTTTTTCAAAGCAGAGAGAAGCAGGACCTCTAAGCTTGGCGAGGCAAAGCAGTGGGGAGCATGCCTGAGGTGGGAGTGGTCTGATCTGACAATGAATGGTGGGGGGGCAGTTGACCAGAGACAACACAAGCAGCTGTGTGTGGCTGCTCTTTACGAAGCAAGTTTTAAAATCACATTTCCAAGCACCCTCAACAAAGCACAGTACATTGCACCCCCCACCCCAACCTCATGCCTTCTGGACAGGAACGGACAATCTTTTTCTGACACTCTGGTAGAGAGCAGCAACTTCCCTTCCCAGTCTAGTATCCGCAATTGTGCGGGCAGTTGAAAAGACTTCACAGGCAGGCGACTGGGCAAAACAGAACAGCGGTGGCAACAAAAGCGCAGGGACTGCGGAACGTAGCCCTCTCTGAAACACCACCTTACATTATTCCAGCCAGATTGCTTTCATGTGGCTAACCTCTCGAATTATTTATAGGAGATTGATTCATATACTCAACCAAATGTGAGAGGAAATACTTCTAATTATATCCAAACATCTTTAATATGAGGGGAATTACGCTTGGAGACCTTCATTGCCAAAAACATGTTTTGCCAAATACGTTTTAAGAAAGAGGAGGAGGCTACGTGTTTTCCATATTTGACCCTATAAAAGGACCCTTGGAATGGGTAGGACTTGTCTTTCCTCATAAAGCTTCAAGGTGAGTGTGTGTGTGAGGACAGGGTCTGTCTGAGGACGGCAAGCGCTCTCTGGCAGCCCACAGCCCTGCCCCACGTCCTGGCCCCCACCAGAACTGGCAGCCCTTCCAGACAGGCTCCAACTTACTCCGTAGCAATTTTAATTAGCTGTTTGAGTGTTCCCAGTCATTTCCTGATTCTCACGTTAAGAATTGCACTATTATTGGGAATGGTTAGAGTCTAACCAGAAGAAATTTGCTCTTTTTCTTACAGTTCTGACCCACTTCCAGGTTGCATTTCTAAGGTAAGGTACTGATTTTTTTTCCCTCATTCTTCACAGGATGCAAGAAATCTTCCACAGTGGTTGGAGCGTGCTCAGGGGGCTATAAAATGAAAGCATTTTCATTTCATGGTTGATCATGTTTCCCTTGAAGAATTCTGAGAGAGATTTTAGAAACTTGTTCTCATTAAGTTATATCCTCTGCAATACCTGAAAATGCTTTCTTAGAATTTTGAGTTTTATATACAATTTTTTTTCTATTTTTAGCATTGCGGTCTGTCTTTTAAATAACTTATGATATGCAATACAACATTTTGGTGTTAGTTATAGAGAAAATATAAATTTCCTATATTATAGATTTTCCTCAGCACCATATACTGTAAAAAAAAAAAAAAACCCAAAAAAACAAAAACAAAATCTGAGATGCTGTCTGGATGATTTGAGTCTTTGCACCTTGGGAGAGTAGCTTCAACCCTCATGTTGTTTCACAGTCTATAAAATGGAAAAAAAAATTTAAATGCTCTGAAAAATGATTATGAGCATTTTTAGCAACACAAAGCATTTTTGTGTTATCCAAATCACCGCAGTTTGGGAAAATGTAGAAAAGTTTACACAAATGCTTTGAGTTTTTCTGGAAAGACTATCTTTATTATTATAAAACAAATTACCTCTGATCATTATTGATAGGATTAATGAATTAATGAATATTAAAGTGGCTAGAGTTGGAAGGATCCTGAAAAGAAAGTTTTGTGAAATTTTTATGAGAATCTCAGTAATAAGGAAAACATAATAATATTTTATAAGTCTTTTAAAAATATTAAGGACAACTGAAAAAGGCAAATTTGTCAGAAGTGTGGAAACAAGAGAAACTGATGTAAAATAGAATTTATTTTTTTAAAGATTTTATTTATTTGATAGAGAGATCACAAGTAGGCAGAGAGGAAGGCAGAGAAAGAGGAGGAAGCAGGCTCCCCGCTGAGCAGAGAGCCCGATGTGGGGCTCTATCCCAGGACCCTGAGATCAATGACCAGAGCTGAAGGGCAGAGGCTTAACTCACTGAGCCACCCAGGCACCCCAGAATTTTTTTTTTTAACAAAACAATGTAAAGCAAAGCTCACTACAGTTCTGCTTTCCTTTATCAGGTAGCCTTTGTAAATCTGTAATGAATCCAAATCTATAATGAAAAGATTTTCACTACATACAAAATAGTTCCCGGAATTTTCACAACATAAACTTATTGTACTTCTAATTCACAAAGCCAGCTTTGAGCCCTTCCCTGTATTCAGCATGTATCCTAAGAGGCACGAAGGATGCCTTGAAAGAGAGGTGCTCCCTGCCTGCTGGGTGCTTATAATCCATCTGGAAGATAAGAGCTCTCGATGATAAGAGCCGGAGGACACCTGCCATCATCTTCGCTTTGTGCTCTGTATAAGCTAATCACAGCCCGCATATAGAAATTAACATGCATACCAAATACAACAGAGAACGCAGCTAAAATATCATATGGCAGGTGAGCCAGAAACCACAGTCTCTTTGCAAATGCTCGATTAAGTATCTATCAGCTTTGGCACAGAACACGAACGCTGACGTTTCATCTCCAGCCAAGCCAGGAAGGTCATACTCCACACGACGCTAAGTGCTCAATTCCTCAGAGATTCAAAAATGTTTTCTTTTGTTTTTTTTTTTTAGATTTTATTTATTTGTCAGAGAGGGAGAGAGAGCGAGCGAGCACAGGCAGACAGAATGGCAGGCAGAGGGAGAAGCAGGCTCCCCGCCGAGCAAGGAGCCCGATGTGGGACTAGATCCCAGGACGCTAGGATCATGACCTGAGCCGAAGGCAGCTGCTTAACCAACTGAGCCACCCAGGCGTCCCATGTTTTCTTTTTCTAAATGTGACATCGAATATCTGAATTTCCAGAATATCTTTTCTTTCCCTCCCAGGCAGGGTCTTCGACTGGGCTGAGTTCAGCAGCCATGAGTTCAGACCAGGAAATGGCCATTTTCGG